TTTTTTTTTTTATGTTCGCGTTCGGAGGGTTTTGGGCGCTTGTTCGCGTTCGCCTCCGAACGCAAACACGGTGCTACGTAGGTTCAAACAGACATATTATATTTTTTGAATGAAATTGAAATTGAGTTTTTGGGCTGAAATTCGGTCTAAAATTTTGGCTCCTGGGGGTCCGGCGTTCCGAGAACGCCAAACCCCATAGATGTATCTGGTCTCCGCTTGACCATTTCGTCAAAACGGACATATTATATTTTTTGAACGAAATTAAAATTGATTTTTTGGGCCGAAATCCGGTCCAAATTTTTGGCTCCTGGGGTCCGCCCCCCCTAGATGTATTTAGTCTCAAGTTGCGACCAGAGACATCTAGGGGGTCCGGCGTTCTACGAAGGTCGGACCCTAGGAGCCAAAACTTTGGACCAGATTTCGGTCCAAAAACTCAATTTTAATTTTGTTCAAAAAATATAATATGTCCCTTTTGACGAAATGGTTGTTTAGGGGGCCCGGAGTTTTAGGAACGGTTGACCCCCAAGAGCCAAAATTTGAACCGGATTTCGGCCTGAAAACTCAATTTCAATTTCGTTCAAAAAATATAATATCTTCGTTTAGACGAAATGGTCGTTCTAATATTTTGTTTTTAGAGGGTTGTTCTAGGCTACCAGAGTGGCCCGGGGGACGGGACGACTTGCTTGGTGGGGCCAAAAAAAGTTAAAATTTAAAAATTAGGAAAAATATTTTTTGCTTTATTTTTTATTTTTCATTTGATAAAGAATGTCGATGTTACCCTGACGTAGACACTGTTTACTTTAAGTTTCTACATAACTTTTTTTTTTCCAGATTTTTTCTAGGCTACCAGCCGGGCCGCCCGGGTCCCCGGTGGCCAGCCAGTGCAAGGACCAGCGAAGGTCCAAGAAAAAAACAAAAAGTCAAAAAAAATCTGAAAAAAAACTATGTTATGCAGAAATATAAATTTAACAACGTTTGCCTCAGGACCACATCTAAATGCTTCACCGAATTTAAAATAAAAAATAAAATGTAAAAATATTATTTTTATTTTTATTTTTTAAATTGGTTTTGTTGTTGTTTTGTATATTTTACAACTGAATATAGCTTGACATAACTCACAACATCCTCAATAGGAACATCACGCCTTAAACAAGCAAGAGTAGACAGGCATAGAAGGAGAAGGAAGAGTAGACAAGCTCGATAAACATAAGGAGAACCTCAATAGGAACATCACGCCTCAAACAAGTAAGAGTAGAGAGGCATAGAAGGAGAAGGAAGAGTAGACAAACTCGATAGACATAGGGGGAACCGAACGCGACTGTTCGTCATTAGATGAAAAATCAAAAAGTACATGACGAACTTTATGGCAAGTGACCCTACCGGTTTCGGCTGGCCGCCGTGACGAGCTTCATCAGGGGTCTTGGTTTGGTCGGTAAACCAGTCTATCTATATATACTAAAAATAATCGTAGTTGCGTGTGTAAAAGAAGGGTTCAAAGCGGAAAAAAAATCTAAATACGAATCTTAGGGTACTGAGACAGATTATCCGACCAAATTCATCTAT